AATTTATGCAGAAGGTGCATAGTTGAATGGAGGCCATGAATGGAAATCTAAAACTGTTTGATTTATCATGACACTTTGATATCTATTATATTTTTACCCTACAGTCGTTACACGGTAAGTTTAAAAAATTCCAAAGTTTGTTATGAAATGGAATGAATGGGTAGAACACTAGAATATGATTTTGAAAGGATTTAGAATCCACTATTAGTGTGATAAGATGGTGCGTATTGGTGATCAGACGTTTTTTTCCTTTATCTCACCCGCAAACGTCAAGGAAAAAAAATTTAAATTTTTAACTAGGCGCACGATCATTATATGCTACGCAATGTATTCCAAGATTGTAGTAACGCCCGAATATTAAAATGCTGCATCTGCATTTTCCAAGCAACAAAATAAGAGTCTCATAAAGTTGAGCTTAAGCTTTATCTGCTGGACATTCTAAACTAGTGGTGATTTGGCTAAAGAGGCTGAGATTTTCAGAGATGGAGTTTTGTAGAACCGGTACGTTTAGCCAACTGAGAGTATATTTTAGTGAATATCTATAAAACAGATAAAATCGGAGTCTCTATGAAGGCCATAAGTCTAAGCACGAGAAAGCGTTGTAGTTCGAAATATATACCAGGTTGCCGAAAACCTTCTCCGTCATTTTTGTCCAATAATTTGAAATCTCATAGAGCTCATAAACTTCTGAAGTAGAAATTTTGGGTTTTTTGTTTTTACTGTAAAATTACAATTTTATTTTGTTGGAAATCAACAATACCAGATTAAGCAAGAAAATGACTTGAGTTTTACGCAGAAAATTTGGAATTACCAAACAGTGTGGTCTCTCTCTTCTTATCTACCACCTATTCTTTCATAAAACATTTGAATTCGAAAAAAATTTTAATTGCATAGCTTTCTCTTACGTTAGGTCCCATTACCAAATTGTGCCACTAGTACGTATCTAATGTAAAAAAATATAGTAGTTCTGAAAGCTTCAGTTCTGTGAAGCAATCGTCAAATACTTCATCAATTTCAAAGATTGTAATTTAGGAAACTTATTTATAGACACTTTTTCAAAATTATGGGTTTCAGCGTTGAGCACATATGCAAGCTCCTTTAGGTGCCTGAGGCTTATGGCAACTCTACTTTTTTGTAGCAATTCATTGAAAAAAATTCCAGAAGAGCTTCCTTCAGATTCTCACCGGCCAAGTAGTATTGGGCGAAGTATAAATCATTCAACTATCTGTAGCAGAATCTATTAATATCCGCCGTACTCGCCAACCCGGAGCTACAGACTATCACGTTAGTCGCTCGCTTAAAATTAACATGAGAACAAAGTGACTTGGAAGTCGGCCATGTCAAAGCGTGGATTGCATCCAAACCATAATCTTTGCTTGCGGAATTGAATTACCAAGAAAAAGGAAAGGGTAATTGAATTTATGGTACGCTTTAGAATAACCATTTTTGCATGTTCTTGTTAAATTGTTTACCGTTCCTACTGTTTAGAATTTGTTGAAAAAATGCTGCAATGACCATGCATTAATCTAATAGAATCCAAATCGATATCTCCCGAATTTCTAGTTAGAACCCATCGACTCTTCAGCTTAATAAGTGGCATTCAGATCATGCTTTCAAATGCATAATATGATATTTACTAATTGTATTGTGCTCGGCTCAGAGTGAAAAAGTATTGAAAACCTTAAATGGCATAAATTCAATCATTCCTATTCTGCCTCATTTATATAAACACAATTAATCCCCGTCGATGTCACTGTTGATTTTTTATGCTGCCCCGTGCTTGGCCATTTTGGGAGAAGGCAGAAGAGTCGGGGACAAGGGTTGCACTAGGATTAGTAAACATCTTGAAAAGTTGCACTAAATTGTTAAACAATTCAGAGTTTTTGACTAGGAAGCCCTCAAACTCTACTGCAAAGTCAAAATCACCTTTAGGAGGCTTACAAGCATGTAAACAATCTACACAAAGATTATTTTGGAAGTTTCTATGAGTTTTTGCTATTTAAAAGAGGTGGATGGGTTAAATTAAAAATACTGATTGGTTTTTTTGTTCTCTACGTTGACTCAAAGCGTGCAAAGTGCTTTTTTACTTGAATAGGTTCAAATAAAGGTAAAGCTTTGGACCATAAAAGATCGAAAATACTTAGTACTTAGTACTTAGTCATAGTCGTTTTTTAAAGTACTTAATTGACAATCGCACTCAATTTAACTCGAAGACAAATTTTGAACCATCGAAGACAGTACCAATTTCACAATGTGGGCCAGATTGACAAACAAAGATAATTTTGAATGAAACTTTTATTCTAAGGGTACGGGAGTCACAATCACTACGAGGTAAACGACAGTTTGTGAGATATATGGTCAATTTTCTAGGCTCGCCTCTTTCTGTAACTAGTAGCTGCGGCTGCTGGTGGTACCTGATAGGAAGTATGACCTGCCACAGGCGTATCACTTGGTTTCTCCTGTCTCTGTGGGCAATTACAGTATTTCGCGTCTTCTCCAGCATTTCCAGGATTTCCCATTGGTCCAGGCATTCCGGGGAATGCGTCATGTCCAGCGTTTCCTGGCAATCCGGGTGGACCGGGTTGCCCAGGAGTTCCATCTTGGCCAGGCTCTCCAGCTTTACCAGGTAGACCAGATTCTCCGATCCATCCAGGCTCTCCGGGTTGTCCGGGTGCTCCCGGGAACGATGTGGTGCCGGGCATTCCATCGGGTCCGGGTGTTCCGTCAAAGCCTGGAGGTCCAGCTGGTCCTTCGTCTCCGGGACTTCCTTCAGGTCCAGGAATACCGTCAGCTCCATGTGGTCCAGCTTTACCAATGGATCCTGGGAATCCTGGCTCTCCAGGTCCTCCATCGCTACCGGGAGGTCCTGCTGGTCCAGCAGGGCATTTGATGCATCCTAAAATTTAACAATTTATTAATCTCACAACTACACTTATTTTGAGGGATGCTATATGGTATTTTATATCATATATTGCCTAAAGGTGTTTTTATTTTGCACCGTACTACATAAATTGGCAAGGTTACGGTAGTTCAAATTTTT